AGATGAAATGGTAGCATTTGGGCGGTCCTTCCGGAAGACAGTAAAATTTCGGAGGAAGTTGGTATGTGTGGCATTTAAATGTGTTTCCTGTAAACACAGGGCTGCAGGTTTGTGCTCCTGCAGAAGATAGTCAACGTCGTCAAGATTAGTAAGCAATCCCCTGCAATTCCATTGAAGAAATGTTGCAGTCATGTGTTAGAGATTGTTACTTTGGAGGTATTATTTGTTTTTTACTTTTATGGCGGGCCTTGGGAGCCTGCCACTCCATGTCTTCTGTGTCAGACGCATGAGAGGAGGCCTGGGTATTCTCATCCATAGATTCCGACTCCTGTGGTGAGACCTTTCCGGAAGGTGTGGAAAGACTCTGGCCACGAGGTGCCAGGCGTCGGCCTCGACCACCTCCAGCCAAAGAGGCGGTGGAGGTGCCAGGCAGGGAAGTGCCGGAGACTTCCTCTTCCTGTCCTTTGGGTGTTGGAGTGGCACAGGAACCATGCCGCTCCTTGGATGTGGATTTCCTCTCCTGAGGGCGTGGGCCCCTCTCCCTTGAAGGGGATCGCGGGCTACAGCCAGGCTTGGCCGTTGCTGACCCATCCTGTGAGGGGGATGCCGTCTGTGCCCCCACGCCACTAACTGGGACAGACTGCTGCCCCGTGAGAGCGGGAGGGGTGGTGGTCTGGCTGGAGGAGGCAGTAGAACCCCCAGCCGTTACTGCACGCCCGGGCAGCTGAATTTTCAGCTTGGGCGTGGGGGACTGCTGTGGCTTCCGGTAGTCCAAAAAGGACGTTTGGGTAGCCACTGCAACCTTCAGTGGTGCATGTCCCCGCTGCACCACCTGCGCATAGCCGCCCTTCCGCAAGAAAGCGAAACGGCGACGTGCCTCTTGGTATGTTAAGTTTTCTTTTACTTTTAGTGTCAGAACTTCTTTTTCATCTTTCCATACCCTACATGATCTGGAGTACGCTGGGTGGGCCTCATTGCAGTTTGCACACTGTGCACTGTTTGTGCAAGAATCCGTCTTGTGGTCGGTTTTGCTGCATTTTGCACATGTGGCTTTCCCACGGCAATTCTGGGAACCATGTCCATATTTCTGACACTGAAAACATCTCCGGGGGTTAGGGATATATGGTCGAACCTTACAGTGGAGGTATCCAGCCTTGACGGCTTCAGGAAGTTTGGTGGCTTCAAAGGTTAGAACTATGTGCTTTGTTCTTAATTCCTGCCCGTCTCGTCGCATGCAGATACGCCTTGCGGCCACGACCCCTTGGTCAGAAAGACCTTCAGCAATTTCGTCGTCAGTTGACTCTAAAAGGTCATCCTCAGAGATAACTCCCTGAATCGTATTCAGTGTGCGATGTGGCGTGACTGACACCTTATGGTCAGATACCGCACTCAGTGCAAGGAGGGCCGCACTCTGTTCGCTGGTCTCAATTTCCACCAGAAGGTCGCCAGTAGACATTTTTTTGGCTTTGAAGCTTTTGCCCACAACACTTTCGAGTACTTTCGCAACGAGGAAGGGCGATAATTTTGATAACTGCTTTTCACCTTCGGAATGAATCACCAAAAACTTTGGGTACTTGGATTGGTTACCTGGAGTCTTGTCTGAGATTAAAACTTCGGTGCGGACTCTTTTGGGAGGCCGATCAAGTTGGTTTTGCTTGGAACCCATAAAGATGGGGAGGTTTTCAGAAACCGTGGCGCACCACCCACCACCGAGCCCAACAAGGGGGTAGGTAGCACCCCATAGTAAGTATAGCTTGGCTGGGTATGCTACTCTAGCAGTGCTACCCAGTATCTATAACCAAGTGTGGTTCAAGAAAGTTATCTGTCGCCACCCAAGGTTAGCCCTTGCCGCCTAAGAAGGTGAAAAAGGAAGGAAGAGAGTGTAGAGGGAAAGAAAGAAAAAGGAGGTGGAAGGAGAAGTGAAAGGAGGGAGAACAGGGTAGAAGAGGCGACTGACTGAATCATCCTGGTCGGGCCAAGCCAGGACACCCGTCTACGAGAAGCAGGGGCCGAAGCGGTGTATTGCCTTGCCCGGGGGGCCCTGAAGGGTCCAAACATACCCCGGGCTTAGCTCAACCACCAGGGTCCCCTTTTCCCCGGACACAGGTACGCCACGCACAGCCAGACGTGGGTGGGCGAACCCACATGGCTCGGGGTTCGTAGTGACGCCACTCACCAAGCACCTACAAAAGTAGGTGCCCCCTGCGTGCGGGTATGGTGGCCCACGTGGCTGGGGTCCGTGGTGACGCTACTCACCAAGCACCTAGCACCTAAGGTGCAGGCGCCCCCTGCGGGGCTCGGGGTCCGTGGAGACGCCACTCTCCAAACACCTGCTTTCACAGGTGCCCCCTGCGGGGAAATCTCTGGCAGCCCCGCTGGTCGCAGCACAGCACACAAGAAACTAGGCCGGGAATCAGACATTCTCGGATCGGAAAGAGCTACTACGTCACCCGTGAGACCTTTGCCACATAATCACGCTCCTGCCATTACCCGTGCCCAAACAGCGGACTCAAGGGATAAAAAAAGCTTCCGGTTCATTGGTTCGACGACTGCGGAGCCCCTTCCACGCTTTCAGCTTAGGGAGAGAAAGAAAAGAGAGGAGTATACGCAAATAGCAGCTCCTTCAAGGCCAAAAGTGGCTGCCCTCGCGAAGGCTTATCTTCAGGGTTATCCCAACAATGAACACAGCTAGAGGCTTAGTCCCCTATATCCTCTTGAAAGTTCGACCCAAAGTTAATAGTGCAGTGGATGCTACCCGTGGCCTTGGCCTTCAGGCAGGTGCCGTGTTCTGCCTTATCTCTAGCTTAGGGACTGTAGTCACGTGATCCTACCCGGAGACCCGATTGGCCTAAAACAAGCATAGCGTCTACTCTACTGTCAATACCGAGTGAACAAAACAGTTCCATACTTCCTAAGAAACTGCCCAGCCCAAAAGTGACCCCCAAGAGGGCATCCAAGCACACGCTGGTCGGGGCGCGTGGCTAGCGTGGCGGTTCACTGATACACCTAGAGGTTTTTAAGGGAGAGGAGGATGCTCATTGTCGGTGCACAAATACACTGGCTGGGCAACGGAGGGTGCATCTTTCAGGAAAGGGGTGCATGTGCTGCTGATACACCCGACTACACCCGTTTTTTCTTAGAGTGCATACTTAAACCGCAAAGGAGTATGAGGCGAAAAATAAGAAAAAGGAGCCTGGTGTGAAAGGTCCAAATCACCCCCATAGCTTCTACTATCGCAAACAAGGGCAGTTACACAATACGCAAATAGAGTTTTGTGATTTAGTTATATTTACGCTCAAGGGCATTGATATCCAACGTATTCAGAGAGATGACACTTTCTGGTCAACAAACATAAAGCCTTTTCTACTCAAGTTTTACATGGACGGCCCGACTTCCGCTGAAATTCCTTACGTAGACGAGTTGTCCGACCGAATAAACTGCAATTACTTCCGATCTGGGAATCTCTCGATCTTAGTTCGTAAGCCATAGTATCATGAAATCGAGAGGTGTGGCTCTTCGTCCGCCGAATATTGCTTCGGCGGGTGTTTTTACCGTGTAAGATGAGACCGTCGCGTGCTGCTGGAACAACTTGGCGATTCTTCACCGAACTGCTTCTTCTGTAAACTTCAAAAGGGCTTTTTTTTTTTTTTTGTTTCGCACACCATGTGTTCTGCATGCCCGTTAGTTGCAGGATGGTATGGGGCACTAATGTGACGCCTGATGCCGGTTTTTTTTTCTTCAAAAACTTGTTTATTTTGTTTGAAGCAGGATTTGGCACGTTATCAGAGAAAAGTACTTTCGGTAGGGCAAAAGTAGGTAAAAGAGACCGTAGAACGTCAATGACGTGTTTGGACGTTGTGGCAGGCATCGTGTAAACTTCCAGCCACTTAGAGTACGCGTCGCCCATGACTCCGCAGATGCGGATACGTTTCGCCCCCCACCGATTGAGTAGTGGATCGTTTTCAGTTACTGTTCATGATGGCGTTGGACTCAAGGAAGACTTCGAGTCTTTTCAGAAATTTAGCCCAGGTGCCAGGACTTTTGTCGAAAGCGGTAAGTGTTCGAAACGTCGACAACGTCGGTAGCCACGTGTTGTGCTTGACACTGGACACTTACCATTCGCTGAGAGGAAACTTGCTTGTTCGTCTGCCACGAGTCGTCCGATATCAGGTCATCACCGCAACACCTTCTCCCGACAAAAAAGGCATGTCCATAGTTAGCAATCACGTGAACTTATAAATTCCCGAACGCTCATAACTTGCCGTCGCTAAACGCCGTTCATTTCATAGCGTCATCATTGCAAATAAACGTCTTCCTATTTCTTCTGATGGTTTTCATCATATTACCGCGCGCGCAGCTGGCTAAGTAGGCAGCGCGCGCGTGGCCTAACGGTCATCGTACCTGGCTCCCACGCAGAGAGCCAGGGTTCGATTCCTGGGAGCGACGCATCTTTTTGTTTATTCCTGCGGACTAGTATTCTGGTAAATTCGAGAATCCTGTCATGTTGCTTGTTCGAGGTCCGAATGTTCTACGCGTCGAACTTTCTACGCCGATTATTCCAGAAGCCGACGCATGTACACAAGGGGCTCCGCGTGGCGAGCCACAGTCAGTTTTCGCCTCAGCGTTTGATCCCATTGCTTCGCCGCCTTCGACGCCCGCGACGCTCTGTGACTCGAGCGCGTGCACGCACGTGCTGAGAGCGGACGCATGTTCTATGTTCTAAAATCGTCCTTTTTCTTGGAAAATTCCTTTTCTGTGCGGTGAAAAGTGCTGGAGAAGACAGAGCTAACGTTCCGGTTTCGCTCGATACCACTTTCATGCCGGTGAGCCGAATCTTTCTCATTTCAAGGACATTGTCACGATTCTGGCCCACGGAGGGCCTGTTAACACTCGTTAGGCTTCGCGCCACAGGGCGCGCCGCACCGAGCTTCTCGGAGCGGCCGCCTAGCTAGGCCTATCGCGTGGCGGTCGCCGTCCTGGTGGGGGCTGAAGGCTGGAGGATGGATACAAGGACCCAAGAAACTCCAGGTACCAGTCGAGTGATCGGCTATAACCCAGACGAGGTGGCGCATGAATTTATCAACCCGGCGCAGCGGCCACTCCGGGATGATGGAATCAAGGATGCCACCTTGGGGGACCAGGAGGACAGAGGACCCGGCAACGGCTGGGTGCAAGTACTGATGCAGAAGAAAAAGAGCAAGAGGGAGACACAAGGCCTCGAGAAACAGTTTCGAGATGAAGCCGGGGGAACAACGGCGGAGAATTTCAACTCGAGGAAAACTCTGAGCTTGCCCAGTCTCAGAGTTTACAAGCACAAGGTCATTATCAAACCTCATCGGGTAGCGGTGGACCTGAAGCGGTACAGGAGCCTGATCGGGGAAGCGGTCCAGAGCTCCCTGCCGAGAGGATTGGACGAGAAGACGGTCGTAAGGCTGCTGGAAGCACAGAATACAATCATGGTTTGTACGGACGAATGGAGCGAAGCGGAAGCCGTCGCAGGTATCAAGAAACTGAATTTTCCTGTCGGCGTGCTAGATGTCGAAGCGTATCATGTCTCCCCGAGCGAAGATGCGTGCCGCGGCGTCATACACGGTGTCCGGCCTGACCTGACTAACGAACAGATTCGACAGAAAACCAGAGCTGTGGGATACGAAGTTCTAGAAGCAAGGAGGCTAGGGAAGTCACAGTCTGCGGTAATCGTATTTGCGGGGAAGAAGGTACCGTTCACGGTGAGCTTCAATTGGCTTGAGACTCCCTGCTTTATCTATAAGAAGACTAGGGCGGCTTGTCTGAACTGTGGTGAAATGGGCCATCGGACCGACGTATGCAGCAAGCCGGAGGGATTTGCGTGCTCGGCGTGCAGGGCCACTGAGGTCGGTGAGGACCATGAGTGTGTGCCGAAGTGTGCCTTGTAGGGGGGGGGGGGGGGGGGGGCCCACAAGACCTACGACAGACACTGCCCGGAGAAGTTCTACAAGGAGACTAAAAGCAGGGAGCCTAGACGGAGTCGGGGGAGACGTCGCGACGGCGCGCAGCACGTGCGGTGGCTTTCGAGAGAGTCGGGACGGAGCGTGTCAGACTCGCGCACCCGCTCGCGCAGCCGGTCCGCCAGCTGTAGGAGAAGCGCGTCTCGAGATATGACTACATCCAAGCGGCGCCGGCAAAAGGGCAAGCGAAAAAAGAGCAAGTGAAGCACCTCTATGGAAGGGATCTTCACTGATCCAGGCAATCGCAAGAAGTGGCCGGAACTCCCAAGGGTCGGGGATCAGGAGTCGAGGAGCACGTCCCAGCCCAAAGGTGGAGGGGCGAGCAGCAACGGAGTGATACAAGACCTGCGGAGGGACGTGACCCACTGCAAAAAGACCATAGAGGAACTTTGGAACAAAAGAGAAAGAACCGGGGGAGTCTCGGCAGAGCAAGTACAAGCGATCGTGGAGACGACCGTTCAGCGGGCGATCCAGGGACTTCAAGAATTCTTCACCAGCCAACTGATGCAGCTGACATGCAGGGTCACCGAGCTGGAGAAATTAGGAAAGACTCTTGAGCAAAACCAAGAGAGCCTCTTCAGGCAGTTCGTCTCGAAGCGGAGAAAAACGGGCGAGCCTCTACGGGACGCAGAAATTTTGGACGCAGAATCATGCGCAAGTCAGCGAAGCCAGGTTTGAAAGTGTGGCAGTGGAACTGCAGGGGGATGGGTCGGAAACAGGCGAGCCTTAGCCTGAGGGTGTCGCTTGAACCCAATCCCCCGGCGGTGATACTGCTGCAGGAGCCGGGCAAGAAACCAGTGAAGATCAAAGACTACAATTGAGGGCGACCAATACGTCGCGACACTTGTGCACAAGACCTACGCAGCCACGAGACTAGACTTGGATGGCTGTGAGGTGTCGTGCTGTCACATTGTGATCATCCCAGTGAAAAAAGGGGATCGGGGTGCACATGTGGTGAACGTGTATGGAAATCCAAAGAACCATAAGACGGACTACAGGCGGCTCATTGCGAAGGTGGTCAAGGAGGCGGGGAAGGACCCTGTGGTTATTGCGGGAGACTTCAACGCCCCTCACCCGGGATGGGGTTGCAAGTACGTTTCTCCGAAAGGCAGAAGGCTGGCGGAAAGCATCAACCAGGAACGCCTAACATTGCTTACCGAGGTTGATCAGCCAACCAGGACGGGCACGAGCTCATGCAGAGACACCTGTCCGGACCTGACGCTTGTCAAGAACGTGGCGAACGCTGAATGGACTAACCTCATGGAGCAACTCGGTAGCGATCATTGTATCCTCGAAACGACTATTCACGAGTCCGGATACACAAGAAAGACGGGAAAGGCAAGAATAACGGATTGGGACCGATGGCGAAAACAGAGAGGGAAAGGTGCAGCTAGCATCGAGAACATCGAGGATTGGTCTTCGGAGGTGATCGCCAGTGTCAAGCCGTTCGTGGCTGAAGTTGAACTTTCAGAGAAGACCCCAGCAGTGGACACGCGTCTGCTTCATCTTTGGGAAGCACGACGCGGGCTGACCAGGAGATGGTCAGCCCGCGTCGTCAGGAAAGCTGAGGAAGAGGATTCAAGCACTCACAAAGCTGGCCGAGGACTATGCGGTGGACTTGGCTAGGAAGAACTGGTATGGCCTGTGTGACTCTATACGGGGAAGCCTAGGCACGGCTCAAGCATGGAGGATGCTTAGGGCCTTAATCGATCCGAGTAGGGCAAAGGCGGTGACGGGCGGCCGTTTAGCGGAACTGATACATAAGTTACCCGGGGACCGCAAGCAGATCATGGATCGGCTGGCGGAAAGGTATTTGTGTTTGGAATCCACAGGAGAAATCGTGGAGTATGAAGGGCAGGAAAACCCTGAATTAGACAGGCCAATTACTGTCGCGGAGTTGGAGTATGAGCTCGGGGTTATGAGGAAGGGCGCAGCACCCGGACCGGACTCCCTCACAGCGAAACTCCTCTACAACTTAGGGGAAGGGGACCTGAAAGAGCTGGTACGCCATTTCAACGAACATTTCTGGGAGCGCGGGCTTACTCCAGATAGTTGGAAGGTTGCTGACATTCGCTTCATTCCAAAACCCAAAAAGGAGCTCAAGCTAGAAAATCTGCGGCCGATTTCGCTTACATCTTGCCTGGGCAGGGCGTTCGAACGAGTCATAAACTCCAGGGTTATGAAGTATCTAGACAAGGAACAACTCCTTCCGAACACGCAGTTCGGGTTCAGACCTCACACATCGACGCAGGACATACTCTTGTGGATATATAAGGATATACTGGAGAATCCGAGGAGCGGCCAAACGAGATGCCTTCTAGCTTTAGACTTGAAAGGCGCGTTTGATAATGTTTCGCACGAAAGCATATTTAGGGGTCTCAGCACAGTTAACTGCGGGAGAAGAACCTTCGAATATGTCCGCAGTTTCTTGACGGACAGGACAGCCACGTTGACATTGGGAAGTATGCAATCTGGGACATACAGACTGGGTTCCAGGGGTACGCCGCAAGGGGCAGTACTTTCCCCGTTGCTGTTCAACCTTGCGCTGCGGGGTCTACCAGAAGCGCTGAGGGCGGTTCCGAACGTGGAGCATGCCATCTACGCGGATGACATCACCCTGTGGTGCAGGGAGGGCAGTGACGCGGAAATAGAAGAGAAGCTTCAGGCGGCGGCGGATATCGTCGGAGAGTACGTTATGAGATGCGGGCTTAAGTGCGCCCCGGAGAAATCTGAGCATCTTGTCTTCCGAAACCCTCGCGATAAGCTAGTCGATCACATTGACGTGGTGATAGATGGGGTCCGGGTCCCAAAACCAGCGGAGGTTCGGATTCTGGGCCAGCTTCTACAACAGGGGAGGGGGAACAAGTCGACAATCGACAGACTGGACGCCATGACCACGCAGGTGTGCGGTATGATGAGGCGAAATAGGAACCGTAGACACGGTATAAAGGAGAAAGAGGCAATACAGTTGGTCCAGGCCTTCATTATTGCCAGACTGACGTACGGCACTCCGTACCTGAACTTGAACAAGGCGGAGATGCAAAAGCTAAACGTACTGATAAGGCGAGCGTACAAAAACGCGCTGGGGCTACCGGAGCGTACGGCGACCGAGAAACTGCTTAAACTTGGGGTGCATAACACCATAGAAGAACTTCATGAAGCTCAACTAGTGTCACAGCTGAAGCGACTCTCTTCCACAGTGAATGGAGCGTGGCTTCTGGACAAACTGCGAATGGCAGTACCCGGCGGTTCTCACGGGCCCGGAGACGCGGGGGAAGAGCTGCCGGCTGAGACCCGGCAGAGATTCCCGATCAGTAGAATCCCCCGCAACATGCACCCGGATAGGAATGCGGAACGGAGACAAGCACGAGCGGTGGCCCTAGCGCGTTCCTGGGACAGCAGAGAGGGAACCCTGTACGTGGATGGGGCCGGTCCGGTGCTGGGGGTGGCTGCAATAGCGGTGGCCAGTGCGCAAGGGCAGATCAGACGCGTCGCCTCCATACGAGCGCAGACGGTTGAACAAGTGGAGGAGGCGGCCATAGCATTGACGGTGGTTTGCAATCCTCGTGCGACGATAATTTCGGATTCACAAAGAGCTTGTCAAAACTTTGCGCGAGGGGTCGTGGGTCAACCAGCTTTAAGGCTCCTCCGCAAAACCGCAGTAGAGGGAGTACATCTGATCTGGACCCCCGGCCATATGGGGCAAGTCGGAAACGAGGCGGCGAATGCTGCGGCCCGAGGTGCGTTATACCGGGACTCGGTTCTGCCCCAGAGGGATCTAAACAGTGCGCTCACTTACAGTGAGGCCTTAAAGGCTCTACGAACACATAGGGCAGAATATCCTGGGCCGGCCAAAGGTCTCAGCAAAGAAGAAGAGTTCACGTGGAGACGACTTCAGACGGACACGTTCGTCACACCGATCCAGCTACATCTGTGGTACCCAGAGCGGTACGCCACGGCGGACTGTCCCTTCTGTGGTGAGCCCTGGGTGGACGTTTATCACGTTGTCTGGGCATGCAAGAACCTCCCAGGACTGGCTCCAGTCGAGGAGCCCAAACTCGAGGAGTGGGAAGCGGGACTCAAGTACGCGACGGCTAGCGAGCAGAGGCTGCTCGTGGCCCGAGCACTCCGAGTTCACTCCGCACTTGGAGCCCCGGAATAGGGGCACACAACCACTCTCTCCTTTTTCTTCCCCTTTCTCCCCTTCCCTTTCCTAAATCTTTCAACTCAATAAAGTTTTTCAACAACAACAACGACGCTCTGTTGTTATCTTTCATTCTCCTTTTATTTTTGGGCACAAGTTCGCCCCCCATTAAACGTTCAGTTTACTCAGTCATTTGCTGCATCATCACTTGTCATTCGTGACAGTACTCCTCCTAAGCTCTACTTACAACATTATGTGTGTCGGTACTTCTGAAAATATTGCAAGGGCGTTTGTTTTCTGGGAACTATTGGGCAGGAGATCGAACTATAGGTGGAGCTTTATCGAGCTTGTTGTCCCCACAGCCCGGTGTTTACTAAAACAGTACAACAAAGAAATTGAACCTCGCCATGCGCGGTCTGGACACGAGCGCTTCACTCTTACCAGTGCTTAGGTTGCACGAGGAGTGGCCATTCGAATCGTCACCATCGATATCGCTGATCAAAAACAAACAAGAAAATTCGGTTTCTTGTCCCCACAGCCGAAGCGTCCCGCCAGACGCGTTCTTCCGGACCCCGTGAAACACAATATTTCGTGACCTTTTTTTAGTCGTCATTAAAATGGTGAGGTAAGTACCGTAAATCGCGAAGCAGTTTACTTGACGTCCGCTTCTACAGGTGTCTTGGAAGATTAAGTCTACTGAGCGTGCATTCCTGCAGAGGAAATTTTCATTGATAGAATATTGACACGTCAATCAACATTTGATTCCTTCTTGGTGAGATTTATTGCGAAAGCCCGTTACAACCGCCGAACCGCATGTCCCTATATCAGAGAACAATTTATTCGCGACTCCAGCGACCTATAGGGGGCGCCACTACCAAACAAACATGGCGGCTGAGTCCAGGTCGCGTCGGCTCGGCCAGGCCGCCTGAACAGGTGGCGCGTTCAATTTAACAGATTTTCTTTTGTTTAATGCCCGATTTTATATGTATTTGAACTGAGACGGTTAAGTGTAGCCAGTGCACATAAACTTGCAAAGCATAGTTTTGTTTTCCCGGTGTTTTCTTGTTCTTTCCATGTCAAACTTTCGTTTCGGAGATTTCATTCAAAACCGAAATTATGGGCTCCGGAGAGACAGTAATATACTAATCAGTTTTGATCATCTAAGGAACGCGGCGATAACTACAGAGCTGTTCCACCGATAGTAATTTTCAGCTAAATCACATGCATCGACCATGCGACTTATCTGCCCGCGAAATCGAGTTTTTGTGCGTATCCGCGTTTAAAAAACAGCTCCAGTCGTCTACTCGGTCAACAACACAGGCTGCAGGAAAATTACGAAAATTAAGCAAGCGCTTCTTGAGCCAAGGACCATGTTAACCCGCCGGCGCCCCACTAAGCAGCTGATAGCACCTATTTCAATTCAGGTTTTAGTAGCAATCGAGAAGTCATTTTGACGAGGGGGTTATGTATTATATTAAGTACTATAAGGTCCCACTAAAGCGATATTAGTATATTCTTCGGGTTGAAATATGAGCTTAGTTGACAAGCTATTAGATGAACTGCTGAATAAAAGTATATTTGACAGACAGAGAGATACTACTTAAACTTAGCCAAATGGTTCTAGCCGGCAGCAGGGAGACAAACTGAAGAGAGTCTGCATCGGAGATTCACGCAGAATTTCTCTGCGTGAATACTCATTTTTTCCGTTCAGGATTCTAAGCAACGTTCAGTTGCTTGGAATCCTGAACGGAAAAAAATGAGTATTTTTTGTGGCCGCTCAACCTGAGCAATGTAGACGCATATTGCTGCTGGCTTCGGCGGGGGTATAATATAAATATTGGAGGCGCGATAGATCATAATGTCATGCCAGCTTCTAACGTTGCGAAACTCGTCCCCCACCTTTTGAAAACAGATAATTTCCCTCATTCATCATTGGCAGCGAGCAGGTTTTCCTGAATCAAGTAATTGCGAAATCAGCCCAACTCCTTCAGTGTAGTCCAGAGGCTTTTTCAGCGAAAAGCAGCCAAGATGAATAGCCAACGACACGACCGGCGTGGGTGGCTCAAACTTGAAGCTAACCGAACACAACCAAACTCAAGAAAAGCAGCTATCGAACCTTCCCATTCACTTGACTGCAACATTGGTGTCCTCTCCAGTGAAACACCTCGTCTGTGATCCTCAGTTCACTGCTCTACATCTTTATAAAGAAACCACTTATCAGTTACCAAGTAGCCGTCACTTTGAGTATAATTCGAAACAGACAAGAAATCAAAACGTTTCTCCGTGATTCCTCCCCATCCAAGAAATCGAAAGCACGCGACCGTGTGTTATGGAGTAAACGGTCCTTCAAACACGTGATGGGAAGGAAACAATCTACTGAGGCTTCACAACACTCAGGCAAACTTAAGAAATTTTCGGACCTTCCTCAAATTAGATTGTTCGCCACCGCGCCGACAACACGTGTCCGCGAAAGCCACCAGAGACGCGGAGGGGCGCGGAGCGACGTGGTCCGGCTGGTTCCCGGTTTTCCCGCTTGGTGGCGTCCGTTTTGCTGGAGTCGCGAATACCCAGCCTGACATTCTCGCATACATCCGTTTGATGGGCCACGCAACTTGAGCTAGCTGAGCACAGCTGGCAGAGGCGCGAGCAAGGCCACAAGGGGAACGTGATGGTGCTCGAGCCATCCCACTGTGAACCAATGTTTCGGCCACCCCACGGGTGTGTGTCGCCACCTATTGGTTGAACTAACGCCTTGTTCAAGATGGCTGCCGTGGGACCGCAGCCTTAACGTGCATGATACACGACCGCACGCCGGTACGATGCTCGTCCAGATCGAAAAGGGCAGGGGTGAGGTTGAACCCAGGATCCCTGGGTTCTGAAGCGCGAGCTTTCGCTCCACATGCTCCGAGCTGGTGTGCGCTATACTTCGTTTCAGCTTAGGTCCAGACGCAGCCAATACTACAAGCGCGAGCTCAGCGTCCCTGCCAAGCACGGGCGCTCGTGCAGTGCAAGCACTGTTCAGGGCACATACTCGCACTTGTAGCATCGGTTGCGTCTGGACTTAAGCTGAAACGAAGTATAGCCCACTCGGTCACCAATCACCCCTAGCGTCAGGCATGTGTACCGACGCACAGTAGAACACGCGCAAAAGCAGCTGTGGTGCACCCGCAGCTTCGCGCTTGTTGTTCTGACATCTCTGGCTCGCTCACTGCGGGGATCCAGGCATCTGACACCCTCACTAGGGTGCCTTCATGCACTTTCGCCACGTCTGTCTTAGGGTGGCGGCCTCAGTGGTGGCGGCATCTCGGCCATTTCTATGCCCGGAAGGCACGCGCTTCGGTTTCGTTCGGAGTGAGCGCTTAGCCCTGCCCGGTGCTTTGGCGCCATTTTAAGGCCCATTCGGCACGTGCAGGCAGTTTTCAATACAACAATGCGTGTCTTCACCCTATGACAGACGCTCATTGAGGCACCCTAACACCTAACCCTCACTGTACCACCCTGACATCTGGCACCTTTTCTGTCTTTCACGCGGCGTTCCAAGCGGCGCACGACGGAAAATGCACATCAAGCTATTCTTGAGCACGTGTCGCCGTCTGTATTGTATATTAAGAAACTGCAATTTGCCGTAACTGAATAGACCCTTTCCGAAATTCAGTCTGGCCACTTTGATCCCTATCATCATCCGTGGTATGGCATCTGTGCCATACCGATGGCGGCCTTCAAGTGACTGATAAAGGAAGACGTTGAAGATGCTCCTAAGCGGATGATGCGAGGCCTGTACATTCGGGGGGTCAGTACGACGTGACGTAGGAATGGAACACAAGAGCTACGTAAGCGTTTATTTCTAATAACTCAGATTCAATCAATCTGTGGGCGGCACACAATCGGTTTAAAGCACTTTGGTGTACAGAAGTTTTCGAGGCATCTAAGTAGGTTTGAGCTTTGTTCTGACTGCAGGTTCTTGGTCACCATCGAACTGAAAGGGATCGAGAAAGAACTCGCACTGAAAAATTCCTCGCCTGGGGTGCTATTCTGGTCGCAAACGGGACCTTTCGAGTTGTGACGTATCGAGAAAGAAGGGGCGGAGCCTCAAACTAGAATGATTCTTGTTTCAGGCTCCGCCCCAACGTTCGGGTTCACGCACGCGGTCAGCTAGAATCTGACGATGCCCTACGTCGCGGTGACGTGTCCACGCAATTGGGGCGCAGAAATCCCTGCATTTCCCCCTGTTCTTTTTGTTATCTTCTTTCTTTCCTCCGGGAGTTAAAACGAGCGAATAACGAAGAAAAGGCTACCTTCCGGAAAATGGAAGGAAACAAAGAAAAATAATGTTATCTTTTTATAAAATACGAAATATTATTTCAATAATTATGACGTAAAGTAAATTTAGCTAAGATATCTCAGCTTGTTTTCTCGAAGTCTTTCGCTACGGTCTTTGAAAACAAACATGGCGAAAACCGCGGTAACGACCTTGTGGTGTTTGTGTCTCGTTTGCGTCGTTGCTTTCCCTGCTTCTGCACGATACGGATGGCATTACGAGAAAAAAAAAAATATTACGTGAAGGTGCGCTGCGACACCGATCATCCTTTGTGAAGCCGACGTGAACATAAGCTGTTAATGAAATTTCCTGTTTGCCTGTGAAGGAGACTTCAAATGGATACAGAGCTGACGACGACTCTGTGGTAGTATATGACAAGTCATGAGATCGACGCAGAGTGCAACGGTTATGAGCATTCTGTGGATGATGCAGGAAAGTTTCTTCGGGCAGTTTTAATAATGCTTTGCTCCTTTGCTCACTGCAGTGATTATTCCGGTACAGTCTCCATAAGCCATGCTCTTCTCTTTCGGCGCTGAAGAAATGCACGCGACGGCATAATCTCGGGCAGTCTTTTTTTATTTATTTTTATTTGCAAAATAGCAGTGCAAAAAAAAAAAAAAAACGGCTTATACGTTTTTACACGTCCCTACATAGGTACCTCGCTTTCCCATTGGCTTCATTGCGCGTGACGATTCAACGCTCTTTGCCATGGAAACGTTCGTGAAACTAGAAAGCCTCTGTTTGCCGCTAACAGTCATTTTTCGAGTTCGGGTTGTGACG